GTTGAAAGATTACAAATGATCAAAGTTACTTCAGGAATTCTCTAAGAGTTATACCAAGATTACAAACAAGACACCTATATATAAGAGAATACAAGAAGCATAAAGCTTGGACACAACAATTAAGCACAAAAACTTGAACCTAACATGAACCTTACCTTTAATCGATCTTTTCAATTGCATTATGTTTTGTTTATGTTGTAATCTTAATCCATACTGGACATTTGGCTCATACTGTGTTTTTCTTCCGGCAGGTATCTAGCTAGGGGAAATCTAGGGCTTTGTAAAGAGAGGACCACTTGCTTCTGAGGACTTCTATTTATTTGGAGTTAATTTTAGTCTTGAACTAGAATAATATTTGAGTTAATGTTTACTTGAGACTTAACCTTTATCAATGCGACTTTAAGTTAAACTTTCGTTGAAACTAAGTGGCTTGATTTAATCAGATTTTTTAGTAATTCATTATGTTATTTGGAAATTTCGTTTCCACTGCTGATTTGAGGTGTTTCATTTTACTCTCGCCTTTAAGGTCGAGCCTATAGAAAAGTAAATATGTTCTAGCTAGTTATCACTTCCCCCCTCCTATAGTTATAGTAGTACTGGGAATTCCTTTATCTTCTTTGAATGAGGAGAGAGAATACTCATTCCTCTCCCTTTGGTTGAGTGGCTTCGTTCTTATAAGCTAGTCCGCCTATTTGTAAAAGTTACGAAACCTTCCCTCTATCTTCTGCATACCATGTGACCGAATTATCCTGTGATGCATAGTCAAAGCTGAAAATATTAACTAGATGAAGGGCTAGGATCACTTCTCTACTTCTCAAATACTTACCACTTCTCAAATGAACCTATGACTATATATAGGGGCTCCTTCAATTGTTAACCCAATAATTGGTGTCAACCACGTGAACCAATATTAGCCTTTAATTTGTTTAATCCACAGATGAAATTGATCAGTGGTAATTTTGTAATAAGATTGAAACTGATGTGGTTCACAACAATGAACGAATGCAATTTTGGAAAATATAAGAGAAACTTTTTGGTTATTTTTAATTAATATATTTAGTGGGATGTTACAAAAAAGAGTTGCATGATTTTAGGGATGATAATTATATCATTTCTTTCAAGTTTTTCAATGAACAAGTTTTACCGCGAAAGAAAGATGAAGATTCAACTTGGACAAGTTCATAAATGAAACTATGTTCATTAGTGAAATAGTAAATGTGTTTATTACTGAAATTTGTTCTTAAATGAACTAGGTTAATAAGTGAACCCTATTCATAAGTGAACTAACGCATAAAAAATAAGTGTCCATGTGTTCACAATTGATCATGAACACATTCATAGTATGAAACAATGTTCATGATATTGATCAGTGCCTTGTTCATAGGTGAATGGTTATCATAAGTGTACCATGATCATAACTGAAACTTATTCACTAGTTTCACTTTTGAACTTGTTCAAGTTGAATCTCCATCTTTCTCTCTTTGTAAACTTTTTACTTGAGAAACTTGAAAGAAATGATATAAGTTATCATCCCTAAAATCATGCAACTCTTTTTTGTAACATCCCATTAAATTCATTAATTAAAAAAATAACTAAAAATTGAAGTTACATTTATACCATTAATATTGACTCCAACATGCTAATTAACAAGGACTAACAATGGTTTCTTATTGGTGCAAACGGATTTGTACTATTAACACCATTTGTTTGGTTAACAAAAGATCCTCCCTCCCCCCCATCTCTCTCTATCTCTCTCTTTATATATATATATTATATATATATATATATATGAGTGTGTGTGTGTGTGCACGCACACGTACTCACACATGTCTGGGATGTGCCATAGTTTGACTCTCTTGTAGAAGATCCAAAGTATGATCTTTACATGAAAGTTTCTTACAAGTTCAATGACTTTCTAAAGCTCAATCCGTTGCTTTTTGCTTTCGAGCTGGAGTTTGCGAAGATTATTGGGAAAAGCATGTTTACCGCATATCCTCAAAGTTCTCTTCTAATCACTCATGACTTTTATTTACAACTAGTGCTACAAAGGCTTTTGGAGGGGAAAGGCTTTTTTTATTTAGAGAGGTATAGGAGAATGGCACACCAAAGAGACTCTCTGAAAACTCCTTAGCAACAAGGCTGCTATCAACCACCCATGACAAAGTATCATATTTCTAGTTGAGATCCATTCCCTCCATTTCCTATATCAAATTTATGAATCCCACCCCTTAAAGAATACAGGACCCGTAACTTCCGCCTTGACAGGGCGGTGCTCTGACYGATTGAACTACAATCCCAGGTTGGAACCTTAACCTCTTACGGTTGTCGAGAGATGTCAATCTACTACATCATAACAGTTTGAAATAACATCTACTTACAAAAAATGATCAATTTGGAAAAGTGGGCATAAATGAGAGATCTTCTCTCTTTCCTATGCTTGAGGGAACGAGTGACTCCAAGTCTTATTTAAAGAGAGTGAAATGAGCATTGTCTTTTAGCCACCAAAATCGTTCCTTAATCCCCAGAGATACACCACGCCCGGATCAACATCGAAGACCTATTCGAGATCAAGGTAGAAATTATCAAACTCATGTGGGCCTTGACCTAATGGGAGATTGGTTGGGGTGAGGAGCTCGATCCTTGGATAATCTGAGAACCGCCACGGGGAAAGATTCCTTAGAATGTTCAATTGGGCTAGGATATTATTCAAATGTGGTAGGAGTTTTTTTCCCACAGATGTCCAATAGGTTCTACGTGTTTTTTTATTTGTAAGTAAGACCATTTTAACATTATTTTCCTCTAGGTCTATTCTTCAAAGCTTTTGCTAGCTATCACGTTTTCTGTTGGAATTCATGGTCATAAAAGTCGTCAGTCCCTATAGTTGAAGAAGTCACATTTCAAGACCCTTAAATGACTGCTTAGTCAAAATATTTGCCTCTTATAGTCATCTTTTGAAATGTCTCAAGATTCATTGTTTTTGTGAACATATATACGTTGAGAATGATTATTGTCATAGAGAACTTCACAAGTGTTTAGTATCAATTGTATTTGAGGCAAAATAACAGTTTAATGGTTTCTTGCATCAGGGAAGCAAAATGATCTCTTTCAGTATACATGATATATGCCAAACATAACTTACTCATATGGTCTACGCTAGTAAATGTTAGTTTCACTTATGGTCTATGCTAGTGTTTTTTCCGTTGGATGTTTTACACACTCGTACAGTTGGTTTTTAGCTCAAGATTTCCTTTCGACTTGTTTGAATTTAAACAATGATTCTTGAACACGGTCCTCAAGCATGTCTATTTTTCTCTGAACACGAAAAAAACTAGTTTTAGAATATAAGTTTCCATATCAAATGAAAATGTAAACATTATATGAATTGAATTAAAAAATAATATTTTTTTTATGATTCTTAAAAAGTTAAGAACATTTGTATGATTAAAAAAACCAAAACATATTTATACAATTTATCTCCTATTACCAAACTTGATGAAATATCCTCTGAGAACATGAGTTTAGGTGAGAAGTGTAAAAAATGATCTGGACTTATGATATTTTTAATCTCATCTTTACCCATGAATTGCGAATCTCACATAAATTAATATGGTGCATCTCATTAGCACTAATATTCAAGTAGGATTGATCGAAGCGTTGAAGATCCATTTCTACCTTTCTCACCATACCTTCCAATATTACCGAAACTCAACTCTATCAATCCTTGGAGTTCATAGAAAATAACTTTTTATAAAATAAAAAATAAAGTAAATAACAAATTTGGTCCCTATGGTTCGTTGAAAATAACATTTTTCATCTATGCAAGTTCAAATTTACAAGATAACCATCATGTTTTGCAAAAAAAGTTCAGATTTGGTCCATCCCTTTAACCATTGTTAAAAAGATTATGTTAAATAAGGAGTATTTCCGTCATTTTATCGACTTTTTTGTCTTTGAAAATTGATTTTTTACAGAACTTTTTACAAACGACGATGAACATCTTTAGGGATGGCAAAAAAAACCGAAACCGACGGTGAAAACCGAAAACCGAAACTTTCGGGCCGGGTTCAGGGACATTTTATCGGGGACGGGACGGGGATCGGGGACGAATTCGGGGATTTTAACGGGGAC